TTTTAAGATGACTTTTGGAAGGGCTCAGTTCTCTTTTTCACTGTCTGTGTTAGTCCATGGTCTATTACTATAACAAAGTACCTGTGGCCTGAGGCTTTATAAGTGAGAAAGGTTCATTTAGCTCACAGATCCAGAAGCTCAAAGGCTTGCTGCCAGTGTTGCCCTGATTCCAGGGAGGACCTGGTAGTAGAAGGCATCACATGGCTGAGCCCATGCAAGAGTAGCCACATGGCAAGATAGGAATCCAGTGAGGAGAGGGGCCCATCTTGCTCTTTGTATAGCAACCCCCTGCCAAGAATAATGAACTCACCTCGAGATCAGCTTCAAACGCTTCCCAAGACTTCCCTCCAGGTTCCACCTCTTAGCAGTGACTCTACGAGGACGCAGCCACCAGGACACGCATGGGATGCTGTGCACCCCAAAGCACAGCACAGCCTTCTGTGATCACGTCTACAGGGTGCACACAGATGCTCTCCATAGAGATTTCCACCAACCTACCCAGCCACAAACCCCACCCTACCTATTGTCTACCTGCCCAGCTGCAGAAAAGTCCTTTGGACTCTTCACCTCAGCTGGCCCAGTATAAAGAGTGAAGGGCTTAATGAAGCTTCAGAGGCACAGAGGTTGGGGGACAGCTTTCCAGAAGGGGTGCTGCTCCTGCTGCCCCATGACACAGTGTGCTAGAATGTGATGGGCTGGAGGTGCTAGAGGACAGCAGGGAGGGGCTCATGTCCCCCACCTAACACAGAGGCATCAAAAACTACATTGAATGTATAAATTAAAACATTTTTATTATCGTGAGAGACACATTGCCATGAATCCCCATCAGAATCCTTACCCTCACCTCACACACACTTCTCCCATGTTTCTTGGCACTTCCTGAAGCAGCTCTGGGAGCCCTCTTTCCTGAGTTGTGCTATCGTAGCTACCTCAGGGTCCTCAGTAGATTCAGAACATTTCCCTTTCCTGGTTATTTTGGCTTTGGAGAAGAGCCAGAAGTTGCACAGCGCCAGATCAGGTGGAGAGGGACAAACTGTCACATTTTTACAATCCCGCCTTCCTGTGGGATGGTATACAGCAGCCACATTCTCAGAAAAGAGAACTTCCAGGACTGCTTCATAAAGTGTCAAGAACGATGGGATGTGTGTTCAGAGGGAAGGGGAGGGTTTTGAGGGATTCTTGGGAATGTGTCTCGTGTTGCGATACATTTTTAAAGTGTAAACACTCACTGTTTATTTTGACCGACCCTCATACAGTGCGGCTCCTGACCTGCAGTCCACCTGCTTGCCTACTCTGGGTAGTGTAAATTTGCACATATAACTCTGGTTAGTGTCACTAGCAGGTCCTTCCTCTTGCAAACATTCATGGACCCTGAGCCATGAGCCAGGAAAGCTCAGGGAGAAGGTATTCCAGAAGGTATTCTGGAATTATTAGATGCAAATAAAAGATTCAGTGATATTCACCTTTTCCCAGCTATAGTTTAGAAATATCCCAGAGTGTCTTTCATGACCGTCTATTCTAACATCTCCACTTCGAAAATAAAAAGATTAAGGCCTGGAGGGGAAAAATAACTTGTCCAAGATCAAATGCTTTGTGTCAAAACTCAGTTCAGAACTCAGGACTCCTGCTCCTCTGCTTTTTATTACACTGCCACTCTTGTTATAGGACAACCTGGGGACCCAAGTCAGGGACCATCCTGCTTCTGCGTGGCTAAGTGTCTTACTGTGTGTGTGGGAAAAGTGATTACTCCAAATTCACAGCACTTATGTTTAAAAGTCTCCCACCTCCAAACTAATTAAAGGAGGAATGTGGTGTTGTTTGTATGCCCTGCCCTTCTCACCTTCCAACCAACCCTGTGGTTATTTTTCTTTTAAATTTCTGTTTTGCAGTCCTGGACATTGAACCCAAGCATTGTACATGGCGGGCAAGTGCTCTACTGTGGAGCTGCAGTACCCCTCCACCTTTATTTTTTGAGACAGGTCTTTCGTAAAGGCCCAGGCTGCCCTTGAGCTTGGGGTCATCCTGCCTTAGCCTCCCAAGTAGCTGGGGTTACAGGCATGAGGTCGTTGTAAATACAGAATTTTCAATGACAAGAAATGCCAGTCCTTTGTTAGGGGAACCTGCTGTATGAGCTTCTCATTGTGAGGCACTGAGGTACCAAGCTGGCTGGGCCTCACCTAGGATTGAAGAGGTAAATCCCTACCTGGTTTTGAGACCTCTAGGATGCTCCTGTTGCCCACCTTCCCATTTCCTTGGTGAGGCCACATCAGGCTGTATCAGACCAGCTGTCCCAAAGTGGCTAGGCAACAACCACAGCTGAGAGTGGAGCTAAAGCCTCCTTCTACCCCAGACATCCAGGAAAGCCAAATGGGACACTGCATTTCAGAAGAAGCAAATCTTCTAGCCATAGTTCGAAAGGAAAGCAGCTAGAGAGACACAAGGTGGTTGAGTGCCTGTGATCATGGCTGCACTGACCACAGGAGAGCTAGGCTCAGTGGCTAGGATGGCTGGATATGGTTACAGTATTTTCTGCCACCCTGGGGGAGGACCACTGGGCAGAGCTTAGGAGCCCTGTGAGGGGGAGCAGTCATGAAGATATCCGTTGGCAAGTGGAGTTCTTGGCATTGCATATGGCGGCACTGACTTGAGCTTCTCCAGGTGTTTTTATCCAAGTGCTCTCTGCTCCCAGCTAATTCAAAATGGTGCCCTCCCTCAGGCCCCATGCAGGAAGGGAAGGTGAGGGAGGACAGTACAAACTGGAGCTCAGGGAGGATGAGCTGTGTCATGAAGGAGTTTCCAGTGTAGAAAGGGAAACAGGAAACAGAGTCAAGGGAAGCAACACCCACTCCTGGGACACCTGACCCAACTACTCGCCCACATCCATCCCAGCCCAGGGACTCTGAGACCCCACCAAGCTCCTGTGCCAATCTGTACATCCTCATTAGACTGGAAGCCATGGGTCCTAGCTGAGCATGAGAATCACCTGTAGAACCATGCAAGGAACAGGTAGAAAGCTGAGCTCTTCTCCAGATGAATCTTTTTGGAACAGCAGAGAGTGGGGCCAGTCACCATGTTTTACCATGAACATTAGAGGAGAAACTTCATGTTCTCTCTACCTGCTTTGTTGACAATTTAAAACACTAATTCTGTGCAGATTTTCTCAAGGTCCCAGACTTAAGAAGCCCTTCATATATCTAGTGATTCATATTTGATTTGGCATTAGAATCTTTTAGTCTATTACACTTCTAAATTTGGGGGCTGGTGAGAACTGAACTCTGCCCAACTGAGATGTAGGATGTTAGACTTTGTGATTTCTCTAATATCTTTCCAGAATGGCTTATCCTATTGACTCCAGCTCAACCACAGCAGAGGGAGGATGACTAGCAGCTGAGGAATCATACACACCAAACATCATAGGAGAAACAGCTGATGTCGAGATACCTTTGTTCACTACAGAGATTTTAAGAATCACAAACTCATTCCATGAATGCCGGAAAAATGGATTCATGATTAAACGCTGGAACTCATTTTTATAGCATCTTGGATAACAAATAAAGAACAGGTCAAGGGAGGAAAGCAAAAGTTTTGACAGTGGCCTAATTAAGTGGAAAACATGCTTCCTCCTTGAGGACTGGGACTGTCTGGTGGAGCCTTGGATGAGAAGATCCCTTCTTTAAGTTAAACCCATGAGGAAAGGGCTCTAAGTAGAGCAGAGGGTCTGCATCCTTCTTTGGTTTTCTTTGTGTTGGTATGTTTCTGAAATGGAAGAAGTCCAGCTTTCAGCTTTCCTGAGCCAAGCATAATCAGGTCTAACACACAGCATGACAGTCCCTTAAATATTTGCAACAAGCTTCCCAGATGTGGAGAGAGTGCAGACTTCCACTGGGCTCCCACAGCAAGCTTTGGACAAACTGTCCTATGCCTGACCCTTGAGCTTCACTCCCCTGCCTTCCTTGGGTTCTAGTCCTCGTGCTTGATTCCTGGACCCTTAGAAAAAGATGTTTGGTTGGAGAATGTTGCTATGCACAGATACTCAGTGGCCTCAGAATGGACACATGCCAGCAGCTGGGCAGATAGACACCTTCCTGTCTCCCTTCATGGTCAATGCATGGCTGACCTAGTTGGGGAGCGTCCCCGCAGCCAGTGGCAGTGGCTGTGATTCTTCCCATGTGTGCTTTCTCTGTGGGAGCTGTGGATCCAACACAGATCCCTGAATGCCAAGCTACTGTTGAGATTTGTGCTGTCACAGAGTGGTCCCCTAACTCTTCTCCAAGGCATAGTGTGTCACCGACAGGCATGCTTAATGAACTATTCCTAAATGTTTGTCATCTGTGGTCATCAAGACAACAGCTGTAGCTTTATAAAGTGAATACTGTGTTTTTATAGTTTATTTCCCAGGTTTATCATCACCCTGCAAGGTGACTATGGAACCTGTAGCTGGGTGTGTGTGTGTGTGGGGGGGTGATTTACCTAGTGACAAACCACCCAGACTCAGTGGCTTGAGTGACACTTATTTTGCACATGAACCGGCAGTTGCACTGAGGCTTCATGGGAGTAGCTAAGTCTACTCACTAAATGTCACCAAGGACAGCACAAAAGTTGGGGACTTCTGCGGTCTCACTCACTGGTGGAGATTACTTGGGGATGGTTACTTGGAGATATAATGTTCTGGAATCACCTGGAATATTCTGGAACCACCTGTGGCAGAGTATGTGTTGTTGGAGGACCTTTTTTTCCTCTAAGATTCCAGGGCTCTGTAGGTTTAAGAGATTGTGATTCCATGAACTTCCTGTGCTTGAAACTCAGTTCAGTTCATGATGAGTTTACTGAGCCCTAGCACTGCGCTACAAAGGGACCAGAAAAATAGAGATGAGATGACACGGGCTGTAAAGGTGGGCTGTGGCATGATCCCCCCTCATACAAGCATCTGCATTTTGTAATCAAATGCCCTCCTTGCTTAGGGATGTGTCCACTCAGTCTTCTGCTTATTGTCCCTCCAGGCGGGCACTGACGGGGAAAGCATCGGCAACTGTCCCTTCTCCCAGCGCCTCTTCATGATCCTCTGGCTGAAAGGCGTTGTGTTCAATGTCACCACTGTGGATCTGAAAAGGTAAAGACACCATGTCCCTGAGCACTGGACTCATGGTGTGACAGAAGGTAGAGCCTCAAGTGGTCCCTGCTGCCTTGGCTTGGACCTCCTGTCGGGATCAGTGTCCCCCGAGACACCCAGGGATGGGGAGGCTGTAAACGCGGTGTCTTCTGGGGCTGAGCACATCCCTTGCTGCCCAAATTGTGAAAAAGAGTAAAGAAGGATGCTGGGTATAGCTAAGAGTGTCCGGTGGGGAGACAGGAGCAGGCATCTCAGGACTCAAAAGTTATTGCCCCTGGAGGGCAATGCCACCATTCCCAGGGCCTCGGCAGGACTCAGGTGAGACTTAAGCCTTCACTTCCCATGCTGTTACATCTTCTCAGGTCCTTAGTGTATTAGGCCTAAATTATGGGCCCAGGTAAAGAGGGGCTTGCTTTCCGATTTAATTTTTATTATTTTTGGGTTTTTTTGGGTGCTGGGGATTGAACCCAGGGCCTTCACACTGAGCTACATTTCCAACCCTTTTTATTTTTCATATGAAACAGAGTTTTTCCAAGTCACTAAGTTGCCCAGGCTGCGATCAGATTTGTAATCCTCCTGCCTCGGGCTTCTTGAGCGCTGGGAATATAGGCATCACCACCATGGCTGGCTCATGTTCTGCTTTGAAAGTGCTGTTTAGTAGCTGTTAGAAGCACCAGGCATCCTCCAATCCCAGAGCTACACCTCTGCCCTTCCCAGAATGTGTCTGCCCCTCTCTCCACCTGGCCTTTAACTGTGGAGCAGCTTTTGCCTCGCTCCAAGCGCTCAGCCTGTGCATCCGCTTCCCCGGTGGGCTTGGCATGGCCTCCCTGTCATTTTGGTATGAATTATTCAATACTCAGCTCCCTGCTACCATCCAGATGTCTCCACTGGGATGTTCTAGCCCTGCTTTACAGTCTGTATGTCTAAAATTGTCACCCTTTTCCTTTGAGGTGGTTCTTGTCACAATGTCCTTGCTCTTCTCTTTCCCAACCCCCAACCCCCCAACTTCTCTCTCTCCCCTCTCAGTGCTGTCTTCCAACCCCCGTGATCTCTGTTCCCTGCTCAAAGCCCATGCCTGGTCCTGGCTCCGATCTCAGCACCGCCAAACTCTGTTATCTCGTTCTTCAAACCGGTCTCCTTCCTTCACCCTTCTAGATCCTCTCTCTCCTCCATCCCTCCCTGCTTCCCCAGGCTTTTATTATCCCCGGGCGATTCCTGCTCAAGCAGTGCCTTAGTCAAGGGTCTCCCCTGCTCCAAAACCTTCGCTGCTTCCCACAGTGCACAGAATGGATGCCCCAAAGTCCTCTTCCTCCTGTCCTTTGTTGTCCCCAGCTCTCTCTCCCAGCATCCTGCTCACCTGCCAGGTGAATGACCTGCTGCCGCTCTTGCTCTCCTGGCAGCTTGCATCCCTTGTCTACACAGGCCCTCTTCTGTCTCTGCAGAATGCCTGGCCCCAGGCTCAGTGTCATCCCAGAAATGAGCTCTCTCCTGACTCAGCAGCACCCATGGGCCAGGCTGCACATCACCCTGCCACAAGCTCGATTTCCTTCATGCTGCAAGCCGGTGAGGGCTTTCCCATCAATACACCCACACCAGCGCCCTATGGAGAAGGCAGTCTCCCCCTCGTTACACATGGGAACAGTGACACGCACACTCAGAACCTCACCCAAGGTGCCCAGCTAGACATTAGAGGGGTTGCCGCTCATGCCAGAATCTCCTGGGTTAAACCTGTGCTTCTCAGAGCACCGCAGTTAGGAAGTTTGTGTCAACCTTCATGTGTTACCACAGACCCCTTAAGGATAGGTCGGACCATGTTGATGTTTCTCAGGCTCCCCAGCCGCTCACGGGCTCTCTGGTAGTGCCTCTGAGCTCATGCTGGCCACACAGTTAGCATCTGCCTTTAACTGGAAAGAGCAGAGCTTCTGCACAGTTAGAAAGGACAGCTAGCTGCCTTGGTGGGAAATCCAGGCTCTCAGATCATTGTCTCTAAGATGACACCTGTGTTCCACTGGAGGCCAGGGAGGGAAGGAGCCCCCAGCCCAGCATCATCCACTTGCTGGCACCTGGTCCCACCAGCACTGCTCAGAGGACAGCATCTCCCCAGTTTTGTAAGTAAGGAATCTTTCATGCTGCCTGCACATACACATCACCTGACCTCTAGGAAAACTAATTTCTTGTGCGGGACCCAGTGTTCACTGGCTGAGCTGCCTTGACATTTTCTGAGCCCTTTTTCTTAACCCTAGTTCCTCATCTCTGCAGAAGAGATAAAATAGTGACCAGTAATCTACAGAACAGTGATGAGGACAGGGTTAGGAGGGTCATGGGGAGCACTTGTAGTTAGGGTCACACCCAGCTGACCACAAGACCTCCACTTGTGTCTGCTATTCTTCAAAGCCACACCGCAACCATCCTGAATCCCGACAGCCTTAAGATACAGAGAGGTGACCACAGGCAAACAAAACTTCCAAGCTTCCCTGCAAGTTGTGTCAGCACCAGTGCCGGGAGGAGCCAGGAAAGAATGTGCTTTCATGGGGCGAAGGAGGGACACACATGAAGTAAACACAGGGACGCAGTCAGCTGGATTTTAGACATATTTTCCCTCTCAAGTTCTGAGCCGCAGCCTGTGTGTTTGCCAGCACAGCCACTGGGAGTGGTGGCCAGTCATTGACATTCTTCCTGTCCCCTCCCCAGCTGACTATGCCCGGAATTTGTTTCTTACAGGTGCCTTTGCCCTGTTCACCTTTCACCACCTTCTAGTGTTTTCTATCCTGGCTACGAGAGACAGGTGGCTGCGTCAAGGGAGCTCTGGGGCTCTGGGGCTCCTGCAGGTCACCTCACACCTCTCCTAACTTCCCCTTCTTAGCACAGCCCCGATCTGCCAACCCTTCCTCCCCCTTCTGCACCATCTTGCTCTTGCGTTTGACTACCTGGCTGATCCCAGAATCATCCTGGCATTAACAGAGCCCCCACCAAAGCCTCCCTTCCATGGTGGTTACCAGAATTCCCCTCAATAGATAGCCAGGGTTCTGCCTGCTGGCACAGAGCAGGGCCACATTTAGCATAGCCATGTCTGAATGCAGACCCTAAAGCCACAGGGTATCCCTTCATTTGACCAGACATGTGTCCCAGGAGTCCATCCTCCACCTCTACAGACACCCGTCTTTCCCATCTGGTCTTCCGCAGGGGGACAATTCCTTGTTGCCCTGGCTATCTTTGATCTAAGTGTCAGACCCAGAATCCTCCAGGCACATGAAGACACTTTCTTTCTTCTTAGGCATTGAATGTGCTCTTTATCCTATATGTGCTTCCCAGAAAAGATCCTACCAGTCCCAGCACAGCTTGCTATACAGGAAAAATAACGTTCATAAAGCAAATCCTCTAGCTGAGTCCCATTAGAAAACAGAAGATATATTTACTGAAAAAGTGGATTATTTATAACTTAAGGTTACACTTAGGTAGCGTTATTCGTAAAATTCATAATGCTCTGAAGCATCGGGGAGAGTGGGGAAGGGAATTAAAAAAGAAAAGCATTGGGATGTATTTTGTATTGTCAAGATACATGCAGTCAGTATGTACTGCAAACATGTACCAATAATAAGAAAAAATAGATAAGTACAATATCTAATTTAGGGAGCATTTTCAGTTTTTTATGTAGAGCATAATTTTTATGTAGAACACGAGTTTTTAAATGTTTGAAGGACAATGACTACCTTCCAGAACAATTAGAAGTATCCTCAAAATAAGAATAGGACTGAAGCTTTTTAGCAAACTCCAGACTATTCTAATTGTGAAGCTAAAATCACTCCTTTTTAAATTAGAAATGAAATTTTCTTTATGTAATCATGAGGATCTCTCTCCTAAATGTGAGGTCTAGGCATTTTCCTCTAGGCCTTTCCCTCGGTGTTCAGTTTAAGGCTGTCTCCTAGATACCTTTTTACTCAGGAAACTTGGATCTGTCCACCTGGACTACTGTGTCTGTATTAGAAAGGTAACCATCAAATGCCTTTGCGCCTCTACTTTATTGTTTTTTAAAATTGTTTTCCATGGTACCGAGAATCAAACTCGGGACCTTGCACTTATCAGGTACTTCCTTGTGCCGCTGAGCTATATCCCCAGCCTAAAATTGTTTTTCAATCTAATAGTTTGTGCATTTAGGCAGATATCAAGAGGCCATATCGGGGGCTGTTTATGGGTGGAAAAAACGCTCTTTTGAGTCTGTCAAAAGAGGCTGATCAATGTTATGCTCAGTTCTGAAATAGTACATTTAATTTACACAGGACAAGAATGCTTGACCTTGAACAAATAGTCCAAGATCCTCCTTTTGGTATCTGAAGCTATTTCCTAGGATAAAAGTGTGATCCAGCTCATTCTTTTGTGTGTGTGTGTGGGGGGGTGTGCCAGGAATCAAACTCATGACCTTGCACTTGCCAGGCAGGCCTTATGGTGCTGAGCTATATCCCCGGCCCCAACTCATTCATTTTTAAGGTTTGGAATGATGCTCAGTGTATTTTTGTCAGAATAATTAGTGAACTTTTGAAAGCCAGGTGCGGCTCCAGCTCCCGCTGCAGAAGGAAAGCTGGGAGCCAAGCTAGAGTCGCCTGTGACCCTCTCCACTTTCTTCCAAGTACTCACCTGCGGCTTTGGCCTTCCTGGGAAGATTTCCTATCACATCGTGTCCATCCTCTAGTGCTTCCTCCAGCCCCTCTTCCCCTACCCCACACTACATCTGTGTTACTACCAGGTGTGCTGGGCAGCACAGATCTACTTTACAGTCAATCTCAGGCTTCCCGGGATGGGACTCTGCCCGGCATAGGCCAACAACACCTGACTCTTGCTCTCTGCAGAAAGCCAGCCGACCTGCACAACCTTGCCCCTGGCACCCACCCACCCTTCCTGACCTTCAACGGGGAAGTGAAGACAGATGTCAACAAGATCGAGGAGTTCCTGGAGGAGACCTTGACCCCCGAAAGGTACTGAGCAGATTCTTTCTGGATTGGATGGAAGGGAAGGGGTGATTGTGTCCCTGCATGGTCTTGCTGAGGAGGGTCATGATCACATTCAGCATTGTTCCACCAGATTCTGAAGTTTCCAATCTCCATGCAGGGCTAGGCCCCTCTCTCTCCGCCCATGTCACCTGCCCTGAGCTAGGCTCTGTCTGATCCAGGTCCTTTTTCTGGACTGCAGTTAATGCAGGAAGCTTTACCAGCACACGCCTGCTATGTTAGTGATGCAGTGACCCAGATTCCCTAGGAGCAGAACCTCAGAACTATAAAAACTTCCATAGCAGACAGTGGCTGAGTGAGACCATTGACTGTCCCATACACCCCACAAGAGTGTTACTTAGATAACTTTGTGCTCAGCAGATGGGGCTGCATGACCTCCCAGGAACTGTCACCAAGCCAGTGCTCAGGTCTATGTAGACACTACAGGCCCAGCCACAGCCTGGCTGTATCCCCACCAACCTGGGCTGGGGGGCAGAGGTGGGTGGCCTGTGTGCTTGGGCCTCAGATCAGGACACTCTCACCCTGTGCTTCTCCAGGAGGCAGCAGAACTCCAAACCTGTCAGCTGCACTCCCTGCCGCATGCTTCTTGTCACACCACTGTTTTAAGACTGCCAGGGAGCTCAGACACCGTGGGAGCCTTTTCCCCCAAACCACACCCAAACATTCCAACAACTCTTTAAACTCACATTTGATTCCACAGGGCATTTGGTGTCGTAATGACGAGTCCAGGAAATTTCAAGTCAATTTGTAAATGAGACTAACATCCATCCCTTTTGAGTCATGGACCCAGCCAGTGCTGGACAAGGAGGCCTTGGGGCCTGGTGGTGGGGACGAGCCAGCCCAGCATCTCATCTCTTGGAGTGTCCAGAGGGTCTAAGATGTAGAATCAAGTCAGGAGACCCAGTTCAGGCCGCCTCTTCACCAGCTGTAGACCTCATCCCGGGACCACGGACGAGTCTGTCCCTCCTAGCGCCTCCTTTTTTTCTCATCTCTAAAATGAAGGGTGATATTATGGGGTCTCTGCGTCCTTTTCAGCCCAAGTTCTATGATCCAAGGAGTCCTCAAAGTTCTCTAACAGCTAGCACCTGTTTAAATGAACCCTAGTGACTCCAACAGGGCATTTCCAAAACTAAACAGTCACCCTGCATGGCCCAAGAATGACAGACCTAGCTAATGAGCCAGTTGAGGAGAAAAAATATGACAAAAGAAGTAAAGACTTTTGGGGGTGACACAGAAAGGAGGGGAAACATTACCCTGCAGATGGAGCTGGGTAGGTTCTGCTCTCACTGTCACACGCAGTACTTACGGGAGGAGGCTGGTTCAGGAGAGGACTGTGGGGTCTCCTGGGAGAGGAGCTCAGGTGTGGTGTTGCCTGGCTCTGTGAAGCTGGGATCCTATCACAGCTTCCAGGGACGGGCACTGGGCTTGGAGAGGGGACATGTCAGGCTTGCCAGTGCAGAGGCAACGAGCCAGCAGCAAGATCTGGGTCTTTCACTGGGGCAGCAGCGTCAGTCTTCATTGTGAGCACACTCTGAGCATACACACAGGTAAGCGGGTCCTGCTAGAAAGGGGACCTAGTGACAGGGACAGGTTCGCCTTTCCTGGGCTGCAGGCTCACAGCTCACAGAGCTGAACATCTTCCTTCCAGGTATCCCAAACTGGCCGCGAAACACCGGGAGTCCAACACTGCGGGCATCGACATCTTCTCCAAGTTCTCTGCCTACATCAAAAACACCAAGCAGCAGAACAATGCGGGTGAGTGACAGGGCCCACCAGGAGCCCCTGGATGTGTCTGTCACTGCCCGGGGTGGCTTCCGCTTCCCAGGGGCACATCAGGTACTCGGGCCAGAGAAGCATCTGGACCAACATTGCCTGTCATTTGCCATTCACAGCCTCCTGGACCCGGGCTCAGGATTGGTAGAACTGCTGCTTAGCTGGTGTGAGGAACAGGAGGGGCTTCAGTGCTGACCTAGGGGTCTGCATGACACACTGTACAAGAGTCCTTGGTACCGTGCGTTGTCCCAGACTGGTGGACCTGTTCACACTGGAACACACCTGCCCATTCCCTTGTGGTTCCTGTGAGATTTCCGGATGTGTGCCAGGCCAACACCACGGTAGACGAAAGGGCACCACTCTGCATTTTCCCTCCCCAGGTGTGCAGGGGATCAGGGAGGATTCTCAGAGCCTCATCCTCTCCATCTGGCTCTGGGGCTCCTGGCCCGCCTTCTTCAGAGGCCTGGGTCCCTTCCTTAAGCCCACAGCACTTCGGCGCCTCATTCAGCACAGAACTAGACTTGGAGTTGGAAAAGGAAAAAGACACCTGGCCAGTGCGGGAGAGGCTCTGAGTCACAAAAGGCCAAACAAGACAAGAGGTATATGCTGGGCTATAGGAAGGAGTCGGAAGGACCAATGTGTGAGCTGTCAGGTGAAAGGGAAAAAGTCCCAGGGAAGAATTTAGCTGAGCTTCTTTGAGGACGCTTCTCACAGCAGGGTCGTAAAGATCAAGGGGAACCAGTTATGTGAGGTCACAGAATAGAGAACTCTGGGAGGGCAGGGAAAGCCAGGTACAGAGACTGGAGCCGCCAGAGCCTGCAGAGCCAGCCAGCAGCTGGGATTCGGCCCTGTGGGCATGACCACCCTTATAGGCACGTGTGGCAGCACTGTGACAAAGGTGACTTGGGACGAGAAGGAGGTAGAAATATTTTAAATATCCGTGGTACTCTTGTTTCATTGCGTAGCTGGATCCTATAGTGGGTTGGAGTGATCCCCAGAAATGCATGCTCAACTGGGCTTTACTTGGAAATAGGATTTTTGCAGATGTAATTAGTTAAGGATCCTAAGATAAGATCATAGTAGATCCAGTATGACTGCTAAAATCCAATAACAGGAGTCCTCAAAAGAACAGGAAAAGCCGGGTGTGGTAACTCATGCCCAGGAGCATTCTGGGAGGCTAAGGCAGGAGAATCTCAGGTTTGAACCCAGGCTTTGTCTCAAAAAGAAAGAAAGAAAGGAAAAGACCTCAGGGTTCAGATGCAGAGACGGAGGAGAGGCACATGAACCTCTGAAGCTGGAGGTGGAGCTGGAGCCATGGGGTCTCAGGCGCAGAGCTTGTGGCTTTGCAGAGGCTGGGAAAGGCGAGGAGAGAGCTGGGTGACACTTGGGTCTGATTTCTGTCATCTTTTCATGTTCAGTCCCCCAGCTGGTGGCACGTTGTTGTGGGAAAGAACACAGCTGCCCCTGTCTGGGCCCAGCGCATTGATTTGACCTCTCCCTCTCCCCGGGGGGGGGCGGGGGGAGGCGGAACAGCTCTGGCTCCAGCCCCCACACTTCACATCCTTCACCTTCACCACAAACATCTTCCTTGTACTCATCAGAGCGCCCTCTGAACGATTTTCTCATCTGAGCATCCAGACTTCTTGAATTATAAATGGTATTTACACATTACCCGTATTTACAGTTCTCAGGTCCCCAAAGCCGGAGCAAGAGTTTCCACAGCATGCCGTGTACCAATTTCCTGAAAACTCAACGCTGTCCAGTTGTCGTTGTTTCCCTTCTTCTGTCTCACCCTGTTTTTGTCTGTAATGAGTTTTGCCCCTGTGACTCTGTCACCCCTGACTCTACTGCACATTTTTGAGCTCTGGGTTTCTGCTTCCCAAAGGAATAGCGTCATCCTTTGAACAGGAACCCCTTATCCCTGCTTTGTGGCTGTAACTGCCCTCTCCTCACTCCTCCCACCCACACCCCCACTGTGGTCACCAGGGCCCAGGGGGACAGAGGTTCTGGCATCACTCCTGCCAGGGGCCCAGTGCCGCCTGTGATTCCAGCCAGCATGACGCTTGCATGGGGGACAGTCCATGGCCCCACCTTGAGACATCAACCTCCGCCCCAGCTTCCTCTGCAGGCTTTGCCATGCCTTCCAGGGGTGTCCGGCTCCGCAGCTGCTTCCCAAAGGCCTTTCTTCAGATCACTCATTTTATGAGTCAGTTTTTCTCCTGAGCAGAGCCCAGCCAGTCCCCATGCACATACAGGGCCTTTTCTGCCCTGTCAGCATGAACGATAACAACAGCAGATAGGAGGCCTGGTTCTAAAGCATGGGTCGCCCTGCCCTGGTGGAAGCGGGGGGAGCAGCCCTGCACTCAGTGTGGCTGCAGGGTCCCTCTCCAGGGCGCATGCAAGGTTCTGTCCAGCAGGGAACAGCTCTCCCTCTGGTCTGTTCTCAGAGGTTGCTAGGATGCTGGCGCGAATGGTTGAGGAGCGCACAAGTGTGCTCTATCCTTTGCACACATCTGTAGCATCCCTAGGATTCTCGGTCACCCTGAGCACTGCCCTGTCCATTTTCCCAGCCTTGGGGCAGAGTATAGCAATGGCACCAGACGCCACCTCCCCAACCACTCCCCTACCATGCCGCCTTCTCTCTCCCCAGAGTCCCTGGAAATGCCTGTCCCATCTGTTCCTTCTTCTTCCTCTGTGATGCCCAGGGGAACTGGATGGCTATAGGCTCCCTGCTCCTAGCAGCTTTCATCCCCCCACATCCCAGCCTCCATGTGCTCTGCCTGGGACATCACTCTGGCTTTGGGGTCCTCCCTTTCCCACAGGGGTCTCTTCTGCACCCTCTTTCACAGGTCCCCTCCACTTCCCATCTCCTCTGAGACTGAGACCTCTCCCTCCAAATTCTCATCTCACCTTTTGCATTTCCTTCTCTCAAACTGTGGTCAGAACAGACTTTCCCTGCCTCTCCCAAATCTCGTGGCTTTCCAGGAATTCATTTTAGCAGCTTACCATACTTTAGGCATCAAATACCATGTTTTACTTTATTTTTCACAATCTCTCTTTTTCCTTACGTCTCAATCATATCAATTCTCAGTGTTTATTTCCTGCTCTGTACACATTTCGAGCTCCAGACAATGAACGAACAGGCTGAATGTGCATCTTTGACTCACCATTCTTATTAACATTTTGTAAAAAATTTTAAACAGACAAAGGTAAGAAATCACAGTGAAAAGAGTTTCATAGCAGGCTAGTCCTATTAACAAATTTGTAGGTCCCTTTTTATTTCCTCCAGCCCTATCCCATTTCCCTCAGACACAGTCACCATTCCTGCCCAGAATCCCCGCCCTTGTTTTTGATCAAAGTGTCATATTTTCATATGCTTCGCCCACTTCCTTTCCGGCTGGAGAGGAGAGAGCATGGAGATTGTCAGTCTGAGATCTCACCTGTTCCGTTCACATTCACCACCTCCTTGCTCCACCCTTTTGCAGTTTCCAAGATGTCAAGAGAAGTCCATCCACTCCTCTCTTTCTCACAAGGGTTCTAGAAAAGTCCCCATCTCAATCTCTGTACCTGGAACCTGTGTATCATTTGCCGCTTTGGGTCTTGGGCTTCCCCAGTCTTCCTGGGCTCCTGGACCACACACATCTCCTGGCAGTTTCAAAACGGACCTGACTCTCCAGCCTCCATCCTGCTTGCCAGCAGAGGCACTACTCTGCAGGGAACTCAGCTCAGCACCAAAGCTGTCATGGGCAAGAACAGGAAAGATGATAAGAGAGGACAAGGAATGTTGCTAGTCCTGGGGACATCTGCAGAAACCCAAAAATTTACTCTGGACACTTTAAAGACTTTGCCCACTGAGGTGCAAGATGGCCAGAGAACTTTGATCACAGATATTTATTAAAATCTTCCCGCCTCATGTCCCTACCTTCCTTCCACCCCTATAAAAGGCACATACTTCTCTTTGTTCAAGGCAGATGGTCTTATCGCTCTCTGCCTGCCTGCACTCAGGCACAATAAATTCCCTACCATGTTGGCCTTTACACAAGCCTGGTGATCTCTGCTGGCCCCATCTCCCCCAGCTCACCCCTGTATGTTACACCCAGTTTGAGCGATTTCCCTCAAGTTACACCCAGTTACACCCCGTATGTTACACCCAGTTTGAGTGGCTTCCCTCGAGTTCCCTCTTCTTTTCTCCCTTTGGGTTTATCTTTCTTTTTTCTTTAGCTGCCTCTGTGTTCCTCGGTCTTGGGGCTTTCATCCTCCACAGGCAGCACAGCAATGCCATGGAGGAGGTGAAAGAAAAACAGGAAGAGGACCATACCGTGGAGCAGGTGGACAGTGGGTGGCACCAGCCCCAGCAGCCCCAGGCCCTGACACCTGACTCACATGGTGACATGGGGCCCCTGGTCAGCTACAGCATGATTTCCCCAGCGGACACAAGCAAACTGCTCCTCCCCACAGCCCCCGAGAATAACAAGTTTCCCTGACCCCAGCCGCAGGCAGAGGAGCTGCCATTTCCATTTTTTTTGGCTCTTCCCTCCTGTGACTTCCCTTCCCAGCCTCTGCAGACTCCAGCCCTCTGGCTTCATGATTCCTAGACTTCTCTGCACACCCCGCCTCAGGGCCTCATGCCTGAACCCTGTCCCTCTGTCCTTCACCTGTGTTCTCTGCCTCTGAGTCCCCTTTGCTGCTTTTCCTGAAGGCCCACATTGCCAGGAATGAGCCTGGCCAATGCTGGTGGGAAACGGACTTGCCAGTAACCCAGCGGGATCTTTCTTCCTCCACCTCTGTGGTTCATGTCCATGCCAGCACCCTGTCCTTCCCCACCGCAGACGGCTGGAGGGACCCACCCTTCCTTTCCAAGCCCCAAGGAACAAGGCGCCTCCTTCCCAGCATGCACCCCTAGTGCTTTTTTAATGCAAGCTCTGAGTAAGTCATAGGTCAACCTCTGAAGACGAGTATGAATACTCCCATAATCTCTTAAA